GCATTATTTTAGGTATATTATCAATTATGATCAAATTGATTAGACAACTCTTTTTTTATTAGCAAAATTTTTATTTAATAATTTGATATATTTTTTTATTCAATAAATATTTTTTTTTGCCAATTATGGTTATCATCTATAATTTGATACTTTTGAATTTTTGAAAATTGATAATCTTGTAGCGGAAGATTTAGTAATTTTTTTATCAAAGCTACATGCAACAATAAAAGCACAGTTAAAAGAAGATCAAGAATGATAAAAAATCAATGTAGATACTTATTGTAGAGAACAATGATAATTCAACATAGATGATAAGATATGGTTACTTTGTTGCAATATTAATACTACTTGTCTTTGTAATAAGTTAGATTATTATAGGTTTGAATCTTTTTTTATTTGTAAATAAGTGAATCTTGTTGCTTATTGATTAAACCTACCAAAGTCTATGAAGATCCATCTCATATTCTATGTATCTATTTTTGAACCATGTAAGATAGTGAATATCTTAGAAAAAAGATAAATACCACCTTCTTTTATAGAAGTAGGTAAAAATCAAGAGTTTGAGGTTGAAGAAGTCTTAGATTCATGGCAGTACCAAAATATGTTAGAATATCTTATTTATTAATATGGATATGATATTAGTAAACATACGTAGGAGCTAGCAAAGAATCTTGTATATATAGTAAAAAAAGTTGAAGCTTTTCATTGACAACATCTTTTAAAAATCAAGATAAAGAATTACAAGATCCATGAAAGATGATGATTGCTTCTTATAGAACTCATTCCTAAAATGGAGGGTAATATCATGGTGTTGTGTATGGTTTGGCTACTATGTGAAAATAATTCACATATATATTTAATATATAAGTTGCTATATAATATAATAAGAGCCATGTTATTAGATTTTAGTTAGTTACAAAATATAATTAAATTGCTACTTTGAAATAATAAGTTTAAGAAGGCTATTATTGAAGTTTATTTTATGTTAATAATATTTTTTTTATAAATTTAGAGCCATCTTTATTAGACATTGGTGACTCTTGAAATCTTATTTTGTTTTGTTTTGTTTTGTTTTGTTTTTTTAATTTGATATTTGAAACACATACTATATAAAACTTATTAAAAAAATATTGAAGAAGGATTTTTGTGTAAAAAAAGATAATTAGCCAACCATGTAGATGAATGGATATGAATGATAAAAATCTCCATTCCTATTGTCCAAAATTCATGCCCAATGGACTTCAAGGAGGCTATCTAAAGCCTTATTAGGAATTAGGATTATTCTTTCAATACCATTTGAATATCAAATGTTAGGATTGTTAAGTTTAGGATTTTGAGTATGATTTTGGCAAAAGTTTTGTAAGTTTTGGAATATTTATGAAAGAGATATAGGCATTCAAAGTCAAGGTATTGATTTTGTACCTATTCACACTCTTTGGAGCATAGTGTACTTATATAAAAGGCTTTTAAAGATCAAATTATGTATTTAGAAAGTTGGTTTAAAGGACTATACTTTGCATATAAAAAAAGATTTAGAGTTGATTTAAAAAAGTAAAAACTAGTTGAAATTAACACTTCTGAATTGAGATTTGTTAGTGAATCAATTTCATGAAGAGTTTGGATCTAGCTATATCTTAGGTATTTGGACAAATATTTGACAAAAATTTTCTAAAAATATGTATTATTATGTTATAAAGCTATTTATCAAATTTTTTGGCATTTGAATTTTTGATTTTTGAGATATAAAAAAAATTATATTGAGATGTTTATAAATTAGGATTTAGAATATCTGCTAGGATTTCTAAGATGCCAAATAATCTATATTAAATTTATAGTTCATTTTTCTTTTGATAAAGCTTAAGAATGAATATTTTATTATCTAAAAATTTGAAAAAATTAAATAGTTAGATCAAGAGATATGAAATTTTAATATTTAGGGAGAAGAAAATATTTTGCAAGAAAAAAAACATATTGAAAGGTTTTACTATAGTTTGAGAATTTAATGCAAAGTAAAGGGATTTTTGGAAGCAAAGACTTTATATATATATATATATATATATATATATATATACACACATATATACTAAATATAAAAATATGAAGCTATGATAAAATTATGATATAAAGATGGATTTATGAAAAAAAATTATAGATTTTTTTTGGAATTATTGAAAATCTAACTCATAAGCAAATGATTAATTATGATTTGATAAAACAAAGGATGTTAGAGAATTTTTAGATGCTATTAAAAGCCTTATATATAAATCTTATTAATCATAAAAGATTTTATTAGTAGAATATCTTTTGATATTGTTGTATTTAATTATCTTTTATAATAAAAATATATCGCTTATTGGAGTTTAGCTAATAAATTAAAGCTAAATTCTTATTAGCTATGTACCTAGTGTATTTCGAAATCCTATATCATGCCCTATAACAATGGACATACACATTTACTCTAATAATTACTTATATGATTAAGTAGAAATAAGTAAATGTAGATTAATTTCATAATATCTTTTAGAGAAGCTTCTTAAAAGCTTTATAAATACGGTTGTGACTTTACATTTCTTTGTAGTTGATTGATAGGTTAGAAACTTTGTCAATAAGTTAATCACATACTACATGTATAAAACAAGTTAACTTTGTGGCACACATATAAATGACTCACGTTATAAGCTTAGACATGTGTCTAATAAAGTCAACACATATTGGAGGTTGTATAGAAAATTGCCACATAGCTCTTAGTTAGAGAGTATATATAGAGGCAAGTGTGAAGCCTAATTCACTCTTGTCAAGGCCTTTTTAGTTCTTAGTCTTACTTTAAGACTTTTTAGTCTTTTTATTTTTCATAATAGCCATTTTAGTTTAATATTATATTATCTTTGAGTGATTTTTTAGTCCTTTTGAGTAACAGAAGAGTATATTGAGGATTTCTTTGTTTAAGATTCATGTCCTTGATACCTTGATGAATTTAGTAATTTTTTTTACATTGATTTTTTACAAGATAAGAAAAATAATACCATTTATTTGAGCAAAACTAAGTACATTTCTTAAAAGTTGGAGGAATTTGGAATGAAAGTTGTAAAGGCAGTTGCTACACCAATGGTACAAAATTATATCACTAAATATGAGAATGATGATTATTTGAATGCAAAAGGTATAAAAGTTCATCAAAAAGCTTTAGGTTCATTATTATACCTTGCAAATGGTACAAGATATGATATTACATATGCTTGTCAACACTTTGCTCAATACATGGCACATCCATATGTTTTGCATTGGCAATCAATCAAATAAATATTTTGTTACTTGCAACAAATAATATATTTGATAATGCAGTATAAAAGAAAAGAAACAAATTTGTGGCTTGTAGGCTAGAATGATGCAAATGGAATAGGTTGTATAGAGACATGCCATTTAATAGGAGGTTATGCATTTATATTGGATGGGGCAGTTATTATTTGGTGAAGCAAGAAGCAATCTTTAATTTTTGTTTCGTTAATGGAGATAGAGTATGTAGCTTTGGTTGTTGTAATAAAGGATACTTTGTGGCTTTATAAAATACTTAGGAATTATGACATTCTTGAGCCAAAAAGAATTTTTCTTTGTGAGAATAATCAAAATACCATTCCTATTGCCAAGAATCTAGTATACTATGGTCATACAAAGCATTGGGATATAAAACATCACTTTATTATGCAATGTGTGAAGAAACGACAAATTGGTTTGGAATATTGTTCCATAGAGCAGATAGTAGCAAACATCTTCACAAAACCTCTCTTTAGAGATAAGTTTCTAGCTTTCAAGGATAAGTTGGATCTTATTTCAAAAGAGAATTAAGTCATACTTTTGGAAGAGGAGTGTTGAATGTCCCATATTTTATGTACCAAAAGGTGTGACTTATCCAACTCTTAATTAAGACACCAAAAGTGCCTTTTTTCTTGGCTTCTGATACATTTCATTTGTAGCAAATGATGTCCATCTTGTTTTCTTAACAATAATTGTGTAAACTTGTACCAACATTATTATTTTGAAAGTTTCAGGTGTGCAAACTATTTGATTTGTATCATTCTAATACTAGTGGTTAGAAATAATTGACTTCAGATTTCAGAATCCAGTCCCATTCTTAGTCCAGAAACAGGTGCACACCTGACAGCACGAAACGGCCAGCTGCAGTAATTGCAACAATGGAACCCAGCTTTACACCTGGAGGAGAAAGAGTGACTGCTATAGGAAAACGATTCTCCTCCTCATCAGTTGGTCGTGAAAAAAAATTCGCATCAAACCACTACTTGAACCGAGATTTGAACGACCATGCTGAAACCAAAAAAATGTCATCCCTCTACCATCTGATGTATTAGGTAGCCACATCTGTACAGCTAAATCGCAGGCTAGAGCTTTCATGACAACAGTCACTATTGAGTCGTTTTGGGGTTCGGGATTATAATCTGCACAAGCAACTTGTGCCAATTCGCACTTTCGATTAACCCTCTAACTTCAGCGACACAAACATTCACGGCAGTCCAGCAGCTGAGCTGCGACAACTCCTCCTCCGAAAGGTGATCCAAACTGCCTAGGAAGTGGGACACTCGTCACTTGATTCATTTCCAAGACTCGTCTTAGTTCCTATTTCGTCAATCCTAAGCTTCTCGGGAAGCGAACATCAAGCAGCTCTTACACCATAAGAAGAAATTCCACCCCGAAATCCACTAATTCAACACACTGATCGATGAAAACGCAAGTCCCTCCGACACTGAACCGACTCACAACTTGCGGCGAATCCTAACTGACGTGGAGGATGACGTGGAGGGAAGGAGTGCCAGCCGGGCAGAGTTGGGGGGGGTAGCGCCAGGGCAAGGGGATGCCACGATGGTAGCCACGTCACCATTCCTTGGATGGCGCGTTCACACCACCTACGTGGCTTATCGCGTGGTATTCACCCTCACCCTCACCCTCAACCGCACCGTTGCTCCCATCCTGCCCGGCCCTGGATAAGGTTCTCGCCCGCGATCAGCGTTGCGTCCCTGCTGCTGCTGCGGCTGCTGCGCCTCGTGCTGCTGTTGCTGCGCTCTGTTGGTTGCTCTACCTCTTGCTGCTTCCCGGGCGCAGACTCATGAGCTTCGTTTGGCACTGTGGGTCTTGGTCTTCCCGGAATTTCTCTGAGCTTGGGAGGATTGGTGTTGGGTTCAGGGTGGATTGCGGAATCGGGACGCGGTAGCAGTAGAGCAGCCATGGTGGCGTGCGCTGCATCCCTGTATGCAGGAGCCAGCACGGCATTGGGGGTGATCTCCGCAGGGAGTGTGGCCCCCCGCCTCACCAGCAGCAGCAGCAGCGCACCCCCCCCTGGTGGTGCTTCTCTCTGTAGCTGCTCGTCTTCCTCGGAGGTGTCGTGGATTGGGCTGCGGCAGAATGGTGTTGTTCGGTGGGAGGGCGTGGGTTTTGGAGCCGTGGCCAGGAGGTTTAGGGTGCATGGCGTGGGGCAGAGAATGGGAGGGAATGTGAGGACAGGGGCGCGCGGTGGAGTTGCGCGCGCTGAACTTGCTGATGGAGAGAGGGTGTCTGCTACCGCAGGTTGTGTCGCATTCGAATTCCGATACTGCTGTGTTTGGGTGGTTTTGGAATTGCGTTGCTGCGAATTGTTGTTGTGGGCTCTTGGGTGCTAGCCCAATTGATGAAATTGAAGCATTTGGCGTGGTTTGATCGTTGACATTCGAGGATAGTACTGTGGATTGCAATGCAGGGTGGAGACAACCCTAACTTTTCCCCTGTGACCCATCTTACAATAGACCAAGGAATGGATTTATACATGGCCTTCAAAGACATTGCCTCGAGCTCGGAGTTCTCTGGGAAGCTCCGAGCTTGAATAGTCTTCTCTGTAGTACCATGTCTTTATTGCATTGCTGAAAGTCGATTGGTTGGCCTCGTATCCATGAGGCTGGGGCAGAAAGTATCGCAATGGATTTTACAAAACAAAAATATGCATCCTGTTGCTATTCACTTTCTTGCTTATTTTAAGGCCCTTTTAACAGACAGTTGCCTCTGAGAACATGATCGGTAATCAAATTAAAGTTACGAAAATCTATGACAACAATTATGGCTCTAGAGGATCAATCCTGTAACGAATTTCGGTGGATTTCAAGCATGATACTTCATCATCTTCTTAGCTGACTTGATCCTTCTCTAGTTTGCTGGCTTGGAAGCTGACGATCTTCTTTGTACACTTCGATGCAGACCCTGTAGGAGGCGTGGAGAACTTGGTCATTATTGGCTCAGGACCAGCAGGTTATACGGCGGCAATTTACGCTGCTAGAGCTAATCTTAAACCAGTAGTGTTTGAAGGGTTCCAAGTTGGAGGAGTACGTGGTGGTCAGCTCATGACGACCACCGAAGTAGAAAATTTTCCTGGTTTCCCCGAAGGGGTTACTGGACCCGAATTGATGGACAGGTGCTCTCTTCACACTGGGATGCAAATCTTCTGTCGACAGCCCCACACATAATCAAATACAACGTGCATTATCTCCGATATGCTCGATGATACGAAAGGAGTTTGTGACCTGAACTGTATGGGTGCAGGATGAGGAAGCAAGCTGAACGATGGGGTGCTGAATTGAGAACGGAGGACGTGGAGTATGTGGATGTCCGAAATCGACCTTTCACAGTCCGAAGTAGTGATAGTGAGGTACTTTTTAATCAAGACTCATGCTGCTTAGTTTGTGATGGGCGAGTAATTATCATTAGTATTATCATAATAATTTTGCTTACGCTGAGGCAACAAGTTTCCCTTCTACAGTTTTGTGGGTTTTGACGGAAAAGGCTCATAGTCGTTGGTGGTTACTTTGATTATCTGTTTCTTTTTCTTTCTTTCGTGTCCATCTTTATCTTGTTTTTGTTCCTCAGCAGCACAGTGCGGGATCTTTAGGGAATATGGAGTATAGTTTATTGATTCTGGTATACAGTGCTTTTGCTAGGATTAGATTCTAATAGTATTAGCAGTTGGGTTTCAGGTAAAGTGTCACAGCATAATTATTGCGACGGGTGCTACAGCTAAGCGACTTGGATTACCCCGGGAGCATGAGTTTTGGAGCAGAGGCATCAGTGCGTGTGCTATCTGTGATGGTGCATCTCCCATTTTTAAAGGTCAAGAGCTAGCAGTGGTTGGTGGAGGTGACACTGCAACGGAGGAATCTCTTTATTTGACGAAGTATGCTGCTCACGTTCATCTGTTGGTTCGAAGGGATAAACTCCGTGCCTCGAAAGCCATGCAAGACAGGTATTTCTCTGAGCAACATGGCCTATTATAACTTGTAAGGATTGAAATTAAATTTGGATTCATCTGATATCCTTAGGTCAGTAGGTTCGGAGATTAGTTTCGTTCCTTCTATGGCGAGGTTCTGTTTGCTGATCTGAATGTTTAATGATCATTTTTGTGATGGAATTCCAGAGTTCTTAACAATCCAAATATTACAGTCCACTTCAACACAGAGACAGTGGATGTCGAGGCTGACGACAAGGGACAAATGGGAGGTCTGAGGCTTCGAAATGTAGTGTCTGGCGAAGAGAGATCATTGCAAGTGCGGGGATTGTTCTATGGGATTGGACACAGCCCTAATAGTCAGCTCTTGGAAGGCCAAGTCGAGCTCGATGATGCTAGTTATGTGGTTGTTGAGCCTGGAACGACCAATACATCGGTCGAAGGAGTTTATGCCGCTGGAGATCTTCAGGTACTTGACTGGTCGTTAGTTTCTTGCGTTCGTTCAATTTGATGCTCTACATTGCTTTGCGTTTTCCATGTTGCTCGTCGTTGTTATTTAGTCTATCTGCCAAAAAGACGTCCAATGTAGCATGAAAGTGATTAAATGCCAGTCACATTGTGAATCTGTAATTAGTCTGATGTTGATGAGTATTAAGAAGCCTTCTACCGAGCTGATTGTTTCAGGATCATGAGTGGAGGCAAGCTGTCACAGCTGCCGGATCAGGCTGTATGGCAGCATTATCTGTTGAGCGTTATCTCACTGCTAACGACCTGCTTGTAGAGTTTCACCAAGTACGATCACTTTCTTCGTGTGTTACCTTGATCTCTTCTTTTTTTTGCTCAATACGGTTGATTTTCTTTGTACGTGTCAGTTTGGATTGTGATTGTTATTTTAGTTTAATTAATGAGAAGAACCGATAGTCAGTGTGAAACCTGCTGAACTAAACGCCCATGCTAACAATTCAAACCTAAAACTTAAAGCAAAAATCGGAACCCCAAATCAACTTTATAATTTATAATTGTTTTTTTATAGTTTTAGATTTTCAAATCTTAATATGGAATAAAATCTCAAGCAACAACCTATTCAAAGCATGGGTCTGCTGATGAAATATGGGAAGCAGAGGACTTTGCCTAAATTTTTTCCCGTTACCTTGGCTCCTGTTTTGGCTTGTACGTACCTTCATCGAGTTACTAGAAGTTGTCCTTTTAAGAAGAATATAATCGTAGACTCCATCCTGACTCTGCAATCTTTGAATGCCAGCGTACTCAAGAGGAAGTCAAGAAAAAAGAACTCACAAAAGAGGATATCGAGGAGAAATTCGACATCACAAATACCAAACACAAAGGCCAGGTGCTGAATAAATCCTTGTATCTCTGTATGGTTATATCAGGGGGATAGGCATATGACGCTTTGGGTATCTTGCTGGTTACGTCGTTTTGGATCTCTAACATAAGTGACTTACATGTTACCGCTGTACTAGTGAGTGGGTTTCGACCAATGTAGGCGGAGAATACACTGTATAGCTGGTATTGAGATGACACATGCAGCCAACCTATATTGTGGGTATGTGAATGCAGTATGCGCTTCGGAAGCTTTACCACGAGAGTCCTCGCGTCATTGGTGTACTTTACACTTCACCGACTTGCGGTCCATGCAGATCTCTCAAGCCAATTTTGAATAAGGTAACAATCCGTGAAAATTCTGGATCACAGAATGTATGGTAACTATGTTGCCGAAATGAACGGAATTTGTCATCTGATCCCGCCTGTTCCAATCAAACAGTAATTTAAGCACTCATGAGTCCAATCCAATTCCATACTGCAATCATGTTTTATAACAGTCTAGGTGACTTGAAGCAATGTAGAAATGAATTATTCGAAAAACTGAAGAAGGTTTTTGGAACAATGCACTGAAAGTCATGTTGCAATTTGACATATTGACATCAATTTCAGTCAATTCCAGTTTTTTTAACCCTAATGAGCTGTTCGAGTCGCAGGTAATTGACGAATACTCAAATGACGTTCATTTCGTGGAGATAGACATTGAGGAGGATCCTGAGATCGCTGAAGCTGGAGGTGTCATGGGTACACCCACCGTTCAGTTTTTCAAGAACAAGCAAATGATAAAGTAAGTCGCCAAATCTCATCTCACACAGTTCAATTTTGATAATGAGTCTCATAACCTTTCTCATGTATGCTATTACAGGCGCATCACTCAATCTAAAACGCAAGAAACTATGATGATCTCATCTTTTAACAAAGTCTTATGTCGAATGAATCTGGAAACTGCGGCTGCGATTTGTAACAGATTGGCTGTTTTATCTGCAGAAGTATATCAGGTGTCAAAATGAAAAAGGAGTACCGAGAGATAATTGAGGCCAACAAGTGATCACTTCGAGGACCTTATGTTTCCAGTACATCAAGTCATCAGGTCTTAGGAGTGGGTTTTAGTACATGGCGCAGAAGAAGCTGGTGTTGTAGTTTTAGGAAACGAATTAGTTACATTGTATCAAGATTGTAAGATGGCTCGGATGTACCAACGCTGGGATTGGTTTTTCTGGAATTGGTGGTAATTTTCCGTCACTAGTCGAGGAAATTGAATCCTGTTCTTGAAGGTCTGAATCCTACGTATCAGCTTTTCGTGTGAGCAAAATGAGTACTTGTAGAAGGTGATCTCAGGAGTGTGTAAAGTTGGGAGATGATCTTAATAGCCGTGTGCAGGAAGTCATTGTTTTTTTTTTAAAAATTATATAGCCCATCATTGTGCTCAAAGCTTGCATTCATTGTTTCCTAAGAGCAATATTATAGCAGCAAGACAGTCTGCGTTTTTGTAGTGTACCTTACGACTGCTGCCACTTTGCATTAACTGCTGTGAGCTCTGTTTGCTTACATTACCTACGTTTTCCCTCATCACTGTACAGACAATATCTATTTATATGCAAAGGATGTTGGTATAATCTTAGCTCCATGTATTTAGGTCATTACCTTTCTAATATAAGACTTTAATATATTTAGTGTAATATACATAAGGTACTGTAGTGTACTAGTAGTGTTTAAACCATGTAAGGGCTAAGCCCCATTATCACTTTTGATGAGTTCTCCAGACCAGCTCAATATGAGCATTTTTGCTTCTGTTTTGGAGGCTGAGAGAGAGTCCTTACGTATGTCATATGTGTGAACAATAGAAGTGTTCTAAACAGAGGTAAGGGAGAGTCTAGTCTTTGATGCAAAGAGTCAATTGAGGGACTATGTAACGATATGAAGTAGAGCTATATCTTTGAGCAAATGGAAGATCTTGTATACTATTTAGATCTAAGATCTAGATTTAGATTTGAGATTCAACCTAATGGATACAATGAATAGGATTATTTCTAAAGCCAACATATTAGTCAACACCTTGAACTACTCAAAATGGAGGGATATCATAACCAATGTTCTTTTGAAAGATCATCTTTATGAAGTTGATGTTGAATTAGAACTTGTTGTAGCCAAATTTGTGGCACAAACAACAAACGCCATGGCATCACTAAGAGGCTCCAAATTATCATGGTCCATCATTGTCACTACACTACACAAGTCAGAAAAGAAGGAAACAACTTTATTGTATTTACCAACAAATGTTGTTGAACAAGCACAAGAATAGAAAAACATTGGAAGTACTATTGCTATTGATCATTGAAATGGTAAAACCAACAAACAAAGGTTTAAATAGTTCCTTGGATGTTTAGTTAAAGCTACAAATCTTATATAATAATAAAATTATAATTGAAAATATAATAATAGTAAAAAAAATGGAATGTCCTTAGGATAGAAGAAGGTTCTAATGTAATAACCTATCTACAATGAGTAAACTTGATCTTAAATCAATTGAGGGAAAAATGAATACCTTAGAAATTTAACTATGATATACAAAATTTTGAAAGGATTATAAAAAATATTTGATATGTTCAAAAATATTGTTAGAAACAAAAAAATAGTACTAAATATTGATACATTTGCTAAATTATTCCTAGTTAGGAAAATGATGCATATAGAAACCAATCTTAGATAGAATATAGAAGAAATGTTAATGGTTATATTCAAGGATGTATTATGTTAAAACAAAGCACATAAAAGCTACTTTAGAAGCTCAATGAAACATGGGAGTTCAAATCATAGAAAACAATAACTTTTTGGAAGTGGAATAAGATTTGGAGGATAAGGAACAAACCTTAGAAGAGACAAATAGATTCATGACAATTTAATATATTGTCATAGATATAGTGCACCAAGCCAACTTATTCACCTATGCTTTGCACTTGCACTAGTATCTAGAGCATACATATCATTATTTGGAGTATATAAGATAATAGGAAATAATAAATATTATAGAGCACATCTTAAGGAGATTCATAATGATAAAAAAAGAGCAATACATATATATGAACATCTAATTCAGAAAAACATGATATCAACAAAAATCTTAGAAAAAGAGTTTAGTGAAGCTAACATATATTTATAATTCTATAGCTTGTGCAGTTATAATAAATAATAAATTAAATAAATTACTATTCACAAATAAAGAAGTATCAAAGGAATACATAAAAAAATTATGTTATCAAGGACTAAGACATCTAAATTATCAAAATCTTATATATTATAGTTATAAATAAAAAGAAAAAGAATATATCATCTTACTTCAATAGATATAATATATATAGGATATCAACTAGGTAAATTCCATAGAACATGAATACCAAAAATTGCTCACACCAAAACCACAAAACCTTTAGAAATGATATATGTAAATTTGTATAGATCTATTAAAAAATCTCTAATAGATTTATAATTTTTTCTAACACTAATAGATGATTATTCTAGATATATATATAGATACATTTTTTTAAAAACTAAATTAGAGAGACTTCATAAATTTAAAATATTTACTATCTTAATAGAGAACCAAATCTACAAACAAATAAAGATACATTGTAGTGATAGAAGAGAAGAATTTATTTCCACAAAATTTACCACATTTTTCAATGAGAAGGGTATTTGAAAACAATTGATAATGTTATTTTATTCACAATAGAATGAAGTATCTCAAAGAGACTTCATAAGTTTAAAATGTTTATTGGCTTGATAGAGAATCAAATTTGGAGATGAATAAAAATACTTTGTAGTAACAGATGGAGAGAATTTTTTTCTATAAAATTCACCACATTTTTGAATGAGAAGGATATTTGACAACAATTGACAATGTCATTTAATCCACATTAGGACAAAAAATCTAAACAAAAAAATAGAGTATTTATTGACAAAGCTAGAAGTATGATGTTAATTACACACATTCTTAGGTACTTCTAGACTAAGACAATACAAACGGTTGTAGAAGTTACGAATATGTTTTTAACAAAGGCTAACTAAGGAATCACATACTATGAAAAACCATTCAATATTAAACATAATTTAGCATACTTGTGAGTCTTTGGATATTAAGCCTTTATTCACATAAAAAGACATAAAAAAATTGCAATCAAAAGCTATTACTACCATCTTTGTAGGTTATGACAATACCTTTAAGACTTTTAGGTATTTTGATCCAAACACTAAGGAAATCCTATTATCAAAAGATGTATAGTTTATTGAAACTATTCCTGTAAATGATAGAGTACCAAATTAATCAAATGATATATTTGAAGAGGAGTTGCATTAATTTAAAATCTTAAACAAAAATAAGGTATTTGATTTTGCATTCACAACAACAGATATAGCAATATAAAACTATCAAACCACTAATCAAAATCATAGCTCATATGACACTAAAAATATATTATTATTATAATAAATCAATTTTTAGAGGAAATAAATAGAAGTCTTACTAAATGAATTGCAGTAGATGATGCTCATGCATTATTACTAATTCCCAACAAGATAACATTTATAGAGCACGAATTGATAGATGACATTGGACATATAACTATACAAGAATTAGATAGACCTTAATGACAAATCGCTGATATAAACAAGCAATTAGATGGATATTAAAAGAAAAGAGACCTAAGATATTTGACAATGCTATTTGAAGCATTGGATATAGAATTAGGAACCTACTTATTTAATAAAGCAAATTAAGATTCTATTTAGAAAGCATCTATAGTAGAAGAATTAGATTCAATTAAAAGTAGGTATATACCATCAAACATAAGTTAAATAGATCTATTTTGCACAAGAAGGCTTGTCTTGTGGTTAGATGACTAATAAAAATCAAAAGGATTAATTATACTAAAAAAATTGCTCCTATTGCACATTGGAAAATATTTTATGGGCTAGTAGCAAAAATGACACATAATAATTGAACACACTACTATATGGATATTAATACTTCTTTTCTACATGGTGACTTATAAGAAGATATTTATATTTTATAATCACAATTTTTTTTATAAAAAGGCATGAATATAAGGTTTATAAATTAAATAATGCATTCTATGGGCTAAAGTAGGCTCACAAATTTAGTATCAAAATATTAATAAATACCTCTTAGAACAAGGATTTGTCAAAAGAATGAAAAATAATAACTTGTACTTATTTATAAATAAAGATAAGATCTCAATCTTAATTTTATATATGAAAAAACTATTGTTTACAAGCAACAATCAAGCATGGATCAAGTAAATTAAAAGACAATTATAAATTAAATATAATATATTTGATATAAAAAAAAGGAGATAAATTATTATACTTACAAGTTGAATGTCTGCATATCAAAGTGGTGGCCATCTTCTTTAACTAATGAAGATACATTGTTAACTTTTTAAATTATTATTAATAAAATAAAAATATTATTTATTAAAAAGATATATGAAAAGGAATAAAATGGGTAAAAAGAAAAACTTATAGAAGCAAGTATAAATAAGGTTAGAAAAAAAAGAAAGTATAAAAAGCAAAGTAGTTTGCAGTCCATGTATAGAATAGATAAGGTGGTTAAAACCACTTTAAGAAATTAAAACCACTTTAAGGAATTAAAACCACCTTTGATAATTATGGTAGTTAAAAAAAATAATTTTATTATATTTTAAATAATATTAATAGAAACTTACTATAAAAAAGCTATAAATAGTTTTAAAATTATATTATTAAAAAAATCATAATAAAAGTGTAATTGACATACTTGCATATTATTCCATATACTTTTGATCTAATATTGAGTTATAAGAGTTTCAAGATAAAATGAAGATGTAGATGGTTAAAAACTAGGTTAAAGAAGACAAAAATAAGAAGAAGTCTATAAAAATCTAAATGTTTGAAGAGTAGGTTGAAAAAGATAAGATAAAATTGATAGATAAAATTGATAGATAAAATTGATAGATAAATTATAGATAGTTTCTAAGGTGAATTATTTGACCACGACTTTGACAAAATCAAGAGATGTGAAAAACAAATACTAGGATAGTTCCTATGTAGAGACATAGAAGAGATATTTGAAATTCTTAAGATGCAAAAATCTAAGTGTTTATTTGGCAACCATGATAAAAAAATATGTTGCTATCTTTGGTGATTAAGTTCATAAAATTTATAAAATTAATAGAGATTATTTAGTAAAGATAAGTGATGTTCTTGAAAAGAACTTACTAATTTTATCATGAGCATTAAGAACCATAAATAAAGATGGTACGGAACAATTCTATATTGTACACCAAATCAAAAAGATTGAGCAAATAGGACAAAAAAAAGAAAGAAATAATATCTAACTTTAGTCAAGATAAAAGAAAGATACACATTAATGAAGGATGTATATTAAAAAAATTTGTGTAAAGAAAAACTTTGGCAATGAAGAAATTAAAAAAAAACATAAA